TTAGTACTTGGTAATAGATAGTTACCCTATTGATATTGTTTTAAATATAATTTAATTATTAAATTTTTATAAAAAAATTGAAAATTTTGAATAAACTGTGTTATTTCCACTGAGAACTTGTCCATTATTTTTCAAAAATGTATATCCGTTTAATTTTTTTTTATGTTGCTAGATTGTCGAGAATATCATAAGTAGTATACAAACTGATGAAACTATGGATGACAATGAAAATTCTAAAGATTGTGCTTCTGATACTGCAGAAAATAAAATTGCACTTATTGATAAAAAGGTTACAGAACATATGGATGTAGTAGACATTCCATGTATGGTTGAAAATCCAATCTGTGAAACAAGTGAGGGTTAAAAAAAAATTAATATTTAAATAATACATTTTAATAAAAAAAAAAATATATATTACAATTTTAATTTTCAAGAACTCAGGGAAAATAGTGTTGCCAGAGTTGATATTAATTATAAATGTGAGAACTATAATGATTCTTTTCAACAAGCTTCAGATGTAAAGAATCATTTTATCACAGTTCACCAAAGTCCAGAATGTTTCTTTTGTACATCTTGTGATAAAAGCTTTTCAACCAAACAAGCATTAAACAATCATTTGACTAAAGAACATAATACTTTGGATAAAGGGGAAATTAATGATCCAGTTGATTTGATTTCTACAAAAATTAAAAGTAGTCAAACATATCCTTAATCTTAGTATATATATATATATATATATATATATATTAATTGAGTTTTTATTTATTGTTTATAGTTGAAGATGAAACATCCCAATGTGATACAGATTCAATCATAATGACTAGAGATAATGATTTTATAAATGAGCCTCCTGAAAATGTGATAATTGATGTGAAACCTGAATTTCCTATTGATAATAACATGTACTTGGAGGAAATTGTGCAAGAAGAAAATGAAGATGATGATTTTGAATGGAAAGAAGATGAAAAAATTAACATTATTGAAGAAAATTTCCACGAAGATAGTTCAAGTGCAATCGACGAAACTGTAGCTCCTTCATCTGGATCAGAAAAATCTGATAAACGATTAAAAAAAAGACAGAATAAAAAAGGTGGTTCACGCTCTGGTGAACGTGCATGTTTACCTGCTATTCATAGTTGTGCACTTTGTGGAAAAAAATGGAGGACAGTCACAGAGTTAAAATCTCATATACAATCACACAGTTCTCTCAGGCCTTATGTTTGTGAGGTACTTATCTTTTTGTATTATGTTTTTCCAATATATTTATAATCATAATATTGATTTTTAGATATGTGGACAAGCCTATAAAATGAAAAAAGCTTTAGATGTGCATATTGGAATGCATAATGGGATACATCCTTTTACTTGTGAATACTGTAATAAGTCTTTTACTCAAAAAGTTGGTCTACAAAAACATATTCCTATCCATACTGGATATACGCGGTTTCAATGTGATTTGTGTGGGAAGCGATTTATTCATCAAAAAAGTTTTCATATACATACAATGACTCATACAGGTGAAAAACATGTTAAATGTTCTGAATGCGGTTTGGCTGTTTTATCTCAATCACATCTTAAGCGACATTTAAGAGTTCATACTGGAGAGCGACCATATGCTTGTCCAATATGTGGGAAACGTTTTGCAGAAAAGTATAATATGAACGCTCATGTGCATATCCATGATAATAGTGGAGGACTTGGGCCGAAAAGAAATAGAAATCATATGTGAGTCAATAATTTTTAATTTTTAATTTTTTTACTCAAATTTAACTATAAAATAGGACTTGGATTTTTAGTAAATAATTTTTTACCTACTTATAGTGTTCTTTATTCTTAGCGGATTCTCTGCTAGTATAAATGTGCCTTCTAAATTTTAAATAATAGTTAATACAAAATTGAAAATAATGATATCCTTTGCTTCATATAATTTTTACATTTTTTATAAAGTAGAATAGTAAAATCATTAACATCATTAAATTAAAAGTGTATCCTTGATCTTACACAATAATTTTTAAAGCAAAATTTCTTACTGTTTTTTATCTTGTTGAAGTTCTTATTGAGGCTTATTTCCAATATTTTCGAACAGTAATGATTCTTTAAATCTCATTGGAAACAAATTATATTATGAACATTAAATATTTTTCTGTTAAACACACCACTAAATTAGAATACACTGATTTAAACTATTAGTAAGTATGAAGTGAAGGCATGCTTTATAATTTAAATATTAAAAAAAAAAAATTGGTAAAATCTGTCTAAAAAATGAACACTATTTCTATGACTATTGAATATTGTTAAAAATGTTTCAATTTTATTTTATTTTACTAGATGTCAATTGTGTGGCATGAGTTATGATCGAAAACATAAACTTGAATATCATTTAGCTTCAGCGCATAACAAAATTGATACTAAACTTTCTCAAAATCAAGAACTAGTGCAACTACAACAACCAAAAATTGAATACTTTCAAGAAGTAAGAGAATGTATATTTTATTTTAGTCTTGTCCATACTAAGAGAATGAATTTACACCTTATTGTATTTTGTCATGAAATAATTTAAATTGTCTCATTCTTAAGTTAGGAATGTTCAGTTAATAGTTTTAATTACTGACTTGTTACTAACGTAGACCTATCATAACAATATCTATCTTTTAACGTTTAATTTCTACAAAGTTGATCAGGGGGTTTTCAACCCAGTTGCTTTTATGTATCATAATTAAAGACCGGATTTTTGTGCAGCTAAAATCTAAAAAATGTGCAATTAAAATGTTAAAATGTGGTAAAAACGTGCAAAAACAAAATTTTCATAATTCTTCAAATTTTAATTTTAATAAGTAATAAGTTATTACTAATAACTAATAACTGATTTTACATATGAATACATACTGATTACAATATTTGATTAAAATTTATAATCATGTACATTTCCAAGTTTTTTTGGTTAGATACCCTTGGCTACATCAAACCCAAATTTTTCATTGCCAACATTACAGTTAAATGGTTTGAATTATTTAATTAAAAGAAATTAAACTAGTATAATATAACTGATTTTTACAATTTTTTTATGTTCCTACATGAATGAGGCAATATAAAAAAAATCAACAAAATGTACTTATATCTTCTAAATAAATATTTAGTTTATTAATATAATGTGTTATTTAATTAAAATGCAATGTTTTAATTTAATATTTAGAATTCTCAAAATCACCAAATCATCAATGTGGATAATAATTCTATTAATCGCAATGGTAGCACTGCAATGATAACAGTCAGCGGTGTTAAACTTCCAATATCCTTAGATGACACTCCAATTATGGTTGCTACAATGCCACAGCCACCTCATGCTACTAGTCTTGTTCAACGTAACATACCAGCTGAAGGTTCTCTTCTCACTTACAGCCCATCAAACACAAATGATAATAATGAACAGCCGTTGGTTGATAATTCACAGAAATGCTGTAACTATACAACTGTCTTAAGATAATAAGTTTATAGATAAATATAAGGTGGAGGACTGCAACCTTAAAAAGACCCTCAGAGATTATGCTAACTCGCATTAAACTAAATCTAATGTTTTATATTGAGATAGAATTCTGAATAGTAGTTTCAAATATCTATTAAATATTCATATTTCTAAATAATTGTAAGCTGTTTATGTCTAGTAAATTAGTGTCTATTGTTGTTCCACGCACAAATTTATTCTTAAGTAGTTATTATTAATAAATAATTATATAAAGCAATTAATTTTTTACAGCATATGTATGTTTTGGTCTATTGACAAGGTATATGATAGTATATTGCTATTTTTATTTATTTGATAGAAATTCACTCAACATAATTCCACGAATACTATTGAATACATTATGATGACATATATCAGTTAGTTGATAAAAATAATATATTTCTTAAGCTCTTACTTTAAAAAAAATGTTTTACAAATAAACATATATTTAAGTAAGCATAAAATTAATTTTAGAAATATTAGGTTTATTCTATAATATTTTAAATCATTTAAACTGTATTATTTCTGTAAAATAATATATCATTATATTTTAATGGAATATCAAAAAAAGAAAAAAAATTTATTCATGTTAAACAATTGTGATTTTTGACTATAAATTTAAGTTTGAAGTATTTAAATTACAGCTACGAATTACTAGTTATTAAAAAATATCAATTTTCTTGATGAGCTATTAAGAACTATTAAAAACATATTTTTAAATAAAATATGTTTAACGTAAGCTTAAGTTAAGACATCACAGTTTCCATTTTTTAAAGTTATTTCCTGTTTTTAATAATTTTAACTTTTTATCTATTGTTAGTACTTTTTTAAAAAGTTTATCATATTTTTTTTTTATTTATGTGATATTGGTAATTTACATTTTGGGCATACTAAAAATCTTATTTTTGTTTTAAAACAATTTAATTTCTTTTTATTGATTAAAATTTATAGTTCTATATTATATTTTAGTTATAATTCTATAAATGTATAATGGACATTTTATTTTTAAAATCTAACCTTGCAAACCTTATTTTATTAAGCTAATCTTATTACTAAAATATTGTAATTTAATTACTGGTTTTTGAAGTGTTATAATTTAAGATGATGCCATACCGGCATGTGTTGTCTTTGTCTTACAAGTACATAACCTAGTAATTTTTATGCTCAGCAGTTCCAATTTAGCTCCGTTAATTTAAAATTTAAAGTGAATTGACCTCTTACAAAAATTAAAGGTAACATTAATATCTAGATTTTCACTGAGGTTTTTTATAATATTTTAGTTTTAAAGCGAGTTATTAATAATTTTTAAAATTGTAAATTGTTTGTATATCTTAAAATACTTATAACTTGGTTTAAAATTAAAATATAATAAAAACCTCTGTGAAAATCTAGCTATTATTGTTAACTTTAATTTTTATAAAAGGTCAATTTAATCTAAATTTTAAATTAACGAAGCTAATTTTGAACTGCTGATCGTAAAATTTACTATGTTACTCACTTGTAAGATGGCAACACATGCAGGTGTGGCGTCCTCTTAACATATCCTTCACTTAGGTATAAGTATTGAAAAAAGACAGCATTGTATAGTTGACTTTTATGCTTTATCCTTTTTAAAATGTGGCCATTTATGATTTATATTGTATTTTTAATTGAAAACGAAAATATTTGACTGATTTTTTTATATAGACAATAAGATTAATTCACATTTTATTTCAATGTTCACATTTTTTATTATTTATTATTGTATATTATTAGTCAGGTGATTTTTTTGATTTTTCGACTCATTAACTTGATTGATTCTTTTGATTTGGAAATGAAAAATTTTTGTAATTTGGAGTATTAAATATTTATAAAAAATATTCGTGCAGAAAAAAAATAGCTCTAGTTCATTAGAAATGTTAAAATTAATATGATTGATAATGAAGTCTGATTCAAAAAATCTCCGTTTTGATAATATATTATAGTACTTATTACTTATCTTGTAAATATTGATTAAGTGCCATTGGGTATTAAACATGTGACGGTTTATAATTTATATGTAATATGCTTTACAATACCAATTTTGTTTAAGCAATAACTGATTATTTATTTTATATTTACTGTTAGATTATTTATATTGATGTGATTTTTTACTAAGCCTATAATATTATTTTTATTAGAGTTTTAGGATATGGTTATTATCATCTGTATTTTGCAATTTTCATCTGTATGAATTTTTTTATTAAACAATATATTTTGATACCAATTTGTAGTATTTAGATATACTATTATATTCAGTTTAATTGTTTATGGTATTTTATTATTTTGCTGTCTTATTAATAACTATTTTTAGTTTTAAATAATTGATAGTCAACTCTTTATATTTAAAATAAAATCTAAATTGAATCTCAGTGAATTCATAAAATGTCTTGGTAATAATGAATGAATGAGTAAACCTCATAAGATGCTCATTATCATGATGGTATTAATTTCTATGATTACCATTAGTAATATTATTAATTAATCACTGCTATGGTTTACATCTTTTATACAATAAGGTAAAGAAATTATTCATGTATATGAAATTAGTATAATTAAGTGTGATTTTTGTACACACATTTTCAATAATAAGAGAATCATGTATTCAATTAGTATTTCTTGCATGTAAAATAATTTTTTATTAAGTTAGTAAAAATGTTAAATTGTTAAAAACATTAACAGATGAGTTGTTTTGTACCAGTGGTTTTAAATCAGTATGTCATAAATTACCATAGTGTGTCGCTGAATAATGATTTATTTATGTTGTACCCCTGTGTTTAAAGTAAAGTTAATGTATTATAACATGGTGGTAAAAACCACAAATAAGTAAAATCAACATTCCACATTCCTTAGAAGAGTGTTTGAGATGTGTGAGTATATCATTATGGTAATATGGCTAGTATCTACAAGTTTTGAGGTCATAGACACAAAATGGTACTCGTTCAATATGCTATTTACCATAGATATATTATATCTACCATAATTTTATGGTAGTTTAATATATCTACTGTATGTCTGTATGCTGTATCTACTGTATAATCTCATAGTATAATATGCTTGGATATATTATGCATACTTTATCATTTTCATTTAAAATTAACTTTTATCAAATGCCTAAATTATATTAAATTTATACTTTAATAGGTAAATCTTTATATTATTCTTATTTAGTGTGTGTTTTGAGTCGTGTCATTTATATGCAGTTTTAGTGTGATTCATTTATTATTATTTATTAATTATGTCAACTATGAGTAATAGTTAAATAAATAAATATAATATTAAAACACGAAGAGCGACTAACATTTACCATCCCGACTTCAAGAAGAGTGGTGGTGCTCGTTACTAAAACCAACTGAAGACCTGTTCGAATCATTCCTTGGAGGGTCAGAAATATGCATATGTAACTACACAGTAGTACAGTACTACACGAAAAAAAGTAAAAGTAGAAATACTGAATTATGAAGGTAAGACAATCTACATATGTAGATAGTAAATATGTGTTGATATTATACTTCAAAATTACGGTAAATAAAATATTTATGACAGATAGCATACTAAATCGTCAAACGTGCGGTAGATAGCATATTGGATGAGTACCTACAAAATATATAATAGAAAATAGAAATTCAATCATTTATATACTTTATTGCCAAGATAAATTGGTTTAGTTAAAAAATTTTCATGACAATACAAATATTTCAGTTGAAATGCAATATCAACTTATAAAATAATCAAAAAGGTTTTAAAGTAATCCAAATCATTTATTATTTAGAGTCAATACATTTTAGATTCTGAGCGGAGCGATGAATGTATTGATTTTACCATGATGTGTGTTTTTTATTTTTTTTTTGTCTGTCATCACGTTTTGGGGCAGTAAAAATGCTTCGATTTTTGACTTCAGTACCTCGTTCGATCAGAAAGTGAATCTAGTTG